CCTGCCCCCCGCAGCACAGCCCCTCCTGCCCCGCCCCCAGCCCCGCCCCCTGCCCCCCGCAGTACAGCTCCTCCTGCCCCGCCCCTATCAGAGCCCCGCCCCGCCCCCATCCCCTCCTGCCCCGCCCACTACCCCGCCCCCTGCCCCGCCCCTGCAGCACAGCCCCGCCCGCCCCCAGCCCCGCCCCCTGACTGGCCCCTCGCAGCACAGCCCCTCCTGCCCCGCCCCCTACCCCGCCCCTGCCCGGCCCCCTGCAGCACAGCGCCCCCCAGTGTCCAGCCCTGACTGCCCAGGGGAGAGTGCCCCCTGCCCAGCCCCGCCCCCTGCCCCACGGCGCTCCTCAGCGCACGGCCCTGCCTGCCCGGGGAGAGCACCCCCTGGCCAGCCCCCTGCTCCCTGTGCACCCCACACTCACGATCATGGGGCCCTTGTTGTTCTCCCGGTACTTGTTCTCCATGAAGAGGTAGACGACAGTGGCAGCCAGCGAGTACAGGAAGGCGAAGACGGCGATGGTGACGAAGAATTCGGCGGAGGAGGAATAATCCCCAATGAGGAACACCTTCTCCACCTCGGTCCCCTTGCAGGCTGGGACGTCGAAATAGACCTGGTGGAGTCTTGAGGGAGAGGATTGGAGGGGAGATGAGGCAGGGGGCTCAGTCGTAGAGAAGGTCCCAGTCTGTATCCTGTATGTATAGCCCAGACCTCCCAGGAATAGAGCCCGCTGTCAACCCTGACCGCTTATGCAAAGACAAAGGCAGTCTGTAGACAGACTACAGCCCCGGTCTGTGTAGGAGGCGTCAGTTCATATACAGCAAATATCGACCAGTTTTGTATAGCAGATGCCGGTCAATATGCTGGATATACAGCCCAGACCTCCCAGGAATACCACCCAATGTCAGTCATGACAACTAACAAAAGACAAAGACTGTCTGTATACAGAATACTGCCCAGTCTGTGTAGGAGGTGCCGGTCCATATATGGGCCAGGTCTGTGTAGGAGGTGCTGGGCCATATATTTCTTATATATAGCCCAGACCTCCAGGAATAGGGCCCAATGTCACCCTGACCCACTAACACAAAGACAAAGGCTGTCTGTTTACAGAATACAGCCCCATCTGTGTAGGAGGTACCAGTCCGTGTATAGTAACTATGGACCAGGGCTGCGTAGGAGATGCTGGTCCATATATTGTGCATATATAGCCCAGACCTCCTAGGAATAGCACACAATGTCAACCCTGACAAGGGCAGACTGTATACAGAATACTGCCTGGCCTGTGTAGGTGGTGCCGGTCCATATATGGGATATACATACCAGATCTGTATAAGAGATGCCAGTTCATACACTGTATGTACAGCCCAGACCTCCCAGGAATAGCGACCCTTATGAAGCCTGATTGTAACTCAAAATTGAGAGCAGGCCGTGCAAAAAATACAGCCCTGGTCTGTACAGAAGGAACCACATCATATATTCTAGAAATACAGCCCAGGCTTCCCAGAGACAGAGCCCCGTGCACATCCTGATTTCTACCTGAAACTCAAGGGCAGGAGTCTGCACAGAGAATACAGCCTCGCTCTGTGTAGGAGGCACCAATCCATATACCATATATATAGCCCAGTCTGCCAAGGAGATGCTGGTCCATATACTATAAATACATCCCCAGCCTCCCCAGAATAGTGCCTAGTTTAAATCCTGATGCCTATCTTAAAGACAAAGGTCATCTGTATGCAGAATACAGCCCTGGGCTGTGTAGGCGGTGTCGGTCGATATACTGAATATACAGCCCAGGCTTCCCAGGAATAGTTCCGAGTGTTAATCCTGACTGCAAAGTCAAAGTCAAGGGCAGTCTGTATGTAGAATACTGCCTGGCAATAAGGTGTCAGTTATTAATGGTGAGCGTAATTCACCATTGGAACAATTGACCAAGGAGATGCTGGTCTATATACTGTGAAGAAAGCCCAGCCTGTATAGGAGGTGCCAGTTGATATGCTGAATATACAGCCCAGGCCTCTATGAGCCAAAGTCAGTCTGAATCTCAGCTGCTGTCCCATCCCAGTCCTTACCCATCAAAAGTCTCCAGGTCCCTACGCAGGGTAACAGCCCACCGGCCGGTCTCTATGCAGTATAATGCCCAGCTCACCTGAATGGGTAGCCAAACTCCACTTCAATGTTCAAGTCGCTCTCGCTTTTATTCACACACTCAACGCTGAGGCGAAATTCCCCGCTGTAGGTCCCGCAGGTGGCGAACGCAAAGATAGCAAAGAGCTGTGGGGCGAGATGGGGTGAGATGGGGCGGGTGAAACCACAGGGGGCGCTGCGGGGCGTGGGGCAGGAGTGCCAGCTGGTACCAGGATTAATAACCCCGCCTCGGGGAGGGGGAGGCGAGTGGAGCGGAGAGGAATTGTGGGTAATTATAGAGGGTTAGCTGGTCCCGCCCCCTCTAATCCCCCCGAGTGCTGGGACGAGATAAGAACCTGTCTGACCCAATTGTCCATCTGTCTGCATCGGCCACACTCCTCCGTCCCCCGCCCCCCCTGCGCGCTGGAAGTGGAAAGGGGGAGGATACTGCGGATGGGCCCTTGCGGACATTCTGGGGGGCGGATACCAGGCTGGCTGGGCCTGTGGGTCTGGTGTGGGGAGACAACAGGTTGGATGGGCCCGTGGGTCTGATCCGGGGGCAAATGACTCCAGAACCAGGAGGGTCCATGGGCCCTGGAATCGTTCCCCAACCAGCTGGCTAAATGGGTCCATAATACGGTAGAAATGTCAAGCGAATGGGTCTGGAATCACTCCACAATCAGCAGGGTGGGGAGGGCCAGGAGCCGCTCCAGAACTGGCAGGGTGGGGAGGGCCAGGAGCTGCTTGAGAACCAGCGGGGGGGGCCGGGAGCTACTCCAGAATTGGAGGACGTGGGGGAGTCGGGAGCTGATCCAGAACTGGATGGGGGGTGGGGAGGGCCAGGAGCCACTCCAGAACCAGCAGGGGAGGGCGGGAGCTGCTCCAGAACTGGAGGGGGTGGGGGAGTCAGGAGCTGCTCCATAACCGGGGGGGAGGGGTGGAGGGAGCCACTTCAGAACAGGCAGGGGGTGGGGAGGTGGGAACTGCTCCATAACCGGTGGGGGGGTGGGTCAGGAGCCGCTCCAGAACTGGGGGGGGGGTGTCATGAGCTGCTCCAGAACTAGGAGGAAAAGGTAGGGGGTCTGGAACTGCTTCAGAACCAGTAGGGTAGGATAGGGATCTGGAACTGCTCCAGAACTGGCAGGGTAGGGTAGGGGGTCTGGAACCGCTCCACAACCAGTAGGGTAGGATAGGAGTCTGGAACTGCTCCAGAACTGGCAGGATTAGGGGTCTGGAATCTCTCATTCTGTCTCTGAGTTTCTCTGTCTCTGGTCTCCCCAAATCTGATGGGGGAAACAGGATCTGATAACCAGTTCTTCCTGCACCACCTTCCTCCAATCCTACAGCCCCTCCCACGCCGACTGGCTCTGCAGGGGGGGCAGGGAACGGGGCATGGGGCCTGTCCCCTCTAGGGGGCGCTGGCTTCAAGGCCTAGGCCAGCTCCAAGGCAGTACAGATGGGACCCCCCAATTTCAGGGTCCTGGGGAGCCAGTGCGGGGGACTCACCCATTCCAGCAGTTTCAGAAACCCCAGCGGTTCCTTGAGCATCCGGAATTGTCCCCCAGCCACGACCTGTCAATCAAGGTGGAGAGAGAAGGGGATGGGGCAGGGGGAGGGGGTGATATTAAAATATCTGATATTCCATCTGTTCCTGACCCCCCTCCCAGAGCCGGGCAGAGAACCCAGGAGTCCTGGCTCCCAGCCCCCCC